TCTTGTTCCATTTGTGTCTGTCTCCCCTACTAAGCCATGATGAGAATATTCTATTCGGATCCTTATTTAAACCTTTTATTGGGTGGATGTTACCGGACAATTTCAGGAGCACAGAAATCCTGGCATAGTGGTTATAATCAATATTCACAGTTAATGGTTCTGTCCTTTTTCTTCCTCTTGAATTAACAAATGCCTCTTGATCTTATATTCTAGGGTGGTTAGCGCTGGAGAGAATCCACTTCCTTATTCTCTAGCTGCAAGGACACAGGTTTGGAAGGATTATGGGTAGAAGCCCGGTCCAGGTTGATTTCCAGGACCTTCTTTGTCTTTGAGATCAATTCGATCTTTGCCTTCATGGTCATCATCATCATCAGCATCATGTCAAAGTCATGACAGGAAATAAGAGGAAAAGGGTCAGACGAGAGCAAAAGAAGATTCTTTACCACACTTGCTTTAGACTGATTATAATAAATGATTCGGAGCTATTTAAGCATGATTGATACTCTGAGCCTTGAGCAGGTAAATGTGGAGGAATATATAAGTCGCCTCAGGTATTTTCAGTGGTCTTTACTGGGCTAGACCAGCCTGGCTGTGCTATTGATTCCACAGCTGCTTAGCAGAATGTGAGATCCATTCAATGTATGTTTATTGACTGACTAGTGGGAGTGCCCACTATGTCCCCAGGACCGCATGCTACCTCAGTGTACTCTTCAGACTGGTTCACATGTCTTAAGCATTATGCTGTGCTGATTACGACAGGTGGCTGAGTGACCTTGTGGTTTAGCCGAGGCAGATCTGGTTAAATCTTTCCGGCCACATCCATCCAGCCATCCAGCCATCCAGCCCATTGTTCTGCATCTAGTGAATCCTTAATAATTATTAATTGATGAGGATGTTTTCTCAGTCTGAATGCTTAAACCACATGCTCTCTGAATATGAGGGGTATTACAGCATATTTTAATTAAATACTGACAACTTTAATTCTGATTGCTCATTCTAATACTCCTGAGCTGATAACATCAAGCTAATGGCTTGTTCATTTTGGAAGATATTAGCAGCAGGGTGCTGCCTTTTACCCAAACATAGGATCATAATAATTAAAATCTGATATTGCTCAAAATGAACCCCTTTAAAATAATTTATATCCCCCCCCACACACAGATGCAGGCATGTAAGTGCCAACATTCTCGAGAATTTACAACACCTTAGAGAACCTCTGTCCATTCCTTTCCAAGATGAAGTTTGCTGTTGACGTGATAAAAGACTCCTTACTAGGTTCAGGGGAAATGTGTATTTCCACTGATCAATTTCTGAGTTTCCCAGAAGAGGGGAGCCACAGAGAAATCCTGAAAACTAATGACTGTGGGAGCAAAGTGTATTTGTACTTTATTACACCAGCCAGAGTCTAACCACTGACTCCGAGCAGGAGATAAAGGGAAATGTGGGAAAATGTGGGAAGAGTAGGGGTGGGAGGCTGAGCAAGATAGAGACATGAGCTCTGTGTGTACGAAGGGATGAAAGAATTTGGAGAGAGGATGTGAGAAGGCACAGATACTGCACCGCATTAGTTCATTGCTTCCATAAGCTTCCAATTGGCATTTATTGTATCCCTGGCATTGGAAATCCAACCATGCTTGATACTTAACCACAGGTTCATGTTTGGGCGTTCCAGTGGTTGATACTCTATGCAGAATCTCACGCTTAGAGGTGCATACAGGGAGAGTAGAAACAGATAGGTACATGTTTTCCCTTGGGGACTAAGTACATAATACAGATTACATTTTCTTTGTTTTGTTTTGTTTTGTTTTTCAGTACTGGGGATCAAACTTGGGTCCTTGCACTTGCAAAGCAGGTGGTGGAAACACTGAGCTAAATCCCTGGCCCCAGATCACATTTTCAAATCCTTTGTGGACCCCTAAAAGGTAAGTAAACATGATAATAAAATTTGCCTTCCTTAGTTTTTCCCTAGAAACAATGAACAAGCCAAAGCTAAAGCCACAAAGAGCCAACAATGATAGATGCTTTTCTTTACTTTTATTTCTTTTACTTTTGTAAGGTTCAGGAAACATTTTCTACAAAAACTGTAAAACCAACTACATCCCACAGGAGATAAAAGTCTACCCAAAATAGAAATTATAGGACACAGTTAATTAACAAGCTATTAGCAACAGAGTCCTGTTTTAGAGATCATTTGAACTAACAGACCCCTTGCTAATCTTTGCTGGATTCTGTGTAAAGAATCCTCCAGTTAGGCACCTTCTAACAGCTCCAATTTTTTAAGTGTTTATTATATACCAGGCACCATTTAACAAGCTTTTCCCTGTGGGGTGTTATTAAAGCTCACAGTTATTTTATGAGGACAGGTATTATTGCCAGTCTTGTTTCAGATAAAAACAAACAAAAAACTGAGGCTCAGGGAGGATCAATAAGTTGGGTAAAAGTTCTACAGCTGGCTGTTTTCTGCAAACCTCAACTCCGCCCCTTAAGAAATGCTATAAACAGCAACACCATAAACGTGAGGTTGAAGTCAGGAAATAAAAGCAACTTTATAAACTCAAGTCAATAAAGCAGCTTTCTTTCACATGGGACCACGAATTAATTTCAATAGTGTTTAAGAGTTTTCTCATGGAACAAATTTTGTGGAGAATTTATCGTCACAGCCCCCAAACTAGTGGATTTGAATTGTGACGGTACAATGAAGGGGGTGGAGAGGAAGTGTGGTGTTACTAAGAAGGTGGAATCCTGGTCAGCATAGCCTGATAGAATTGAAGATTTTTCTTACCATCTCCGCTGTGCTTATATTTACCCTACTCCTTAAAGCAGTAAGTCACTTAAAACCACTTACTGGGACAGTATTTCAAATTTACAGCTGCAAAAACAGTCCAAAGTGGCGCTATACACCCTTCGCCCACTTTTATTTTTTTTGGTACCAGGGACTGCACTCGGAACCTTGCACATGTGAGACAGGCGGAGTCACCACTGAGCTAAATGCTCAGTCCCACCCTTCACCCAGATTCCATGACTGTCGACATTTTACTACATGGGTTTTCTGTCTCTCTCTAAGTAAACATATCCATATTATTTTCTTCTTATGGAGATATAAAGATGCTTTTTTATCACTTGAGATATTTCCCCAGATCAAAGATGTCTTCTTCTATAACCACAATTAAAACCATAAGATTATCACTGATAAAATATTATTAACTAATCTACAGAGCCTATATTTGGATTTTATCAATTGCCCCAATCAAGTCAGCAGCAGGAAATCCCAGATCATGCATTTCATTGGGTAGTTGTGTCTCTTTAGTCTCTTTTAATGTGTGTCTCTTTCATGTTACAGCTATTGTTTTTGAAAAACAAGTCAGTTATTCTGTTGAGTGTCTTCCATTTGGAGCTTGACTTATGTCGTAATTAAAGTCAGGCCTCGCATTTGTGGTAGATATGTCACAGAAGTCACACTGCCCTTCTCAGAACATTGGATCAGGAAGCACACAAGGGTCCTAACACTGGCCACATTGACCTTGGCCTCTTGTGTAAGCTGGTGTCAGCCAGCCTCTCCACTGTGAAGTCGCTCTTCCACACTCCTTTTTAATGTTACTAGATTGAAAGCAAGTGGTAAAATATACATAAAGTTTACCATTCTAAGTGTCTGGTTCTGTGGCATTAAGTACATTCACAGTGCTGTGCAAACCATCACCACCATCCAACCAAAGAACTTTTCCAAGTCCGGTCCCATTAAGTCTGTTGCAATCTGCCTGGAATCTTCCACCCTACATCTTCCCTACAACTGGTTCTTGCCACTTCCCCTAGAATACCTAGAAGGATTCTTCTTCCTGACTGACACAAAGCCAAGTTGAAGGCTCCATTGTGACCTTCCTTTTGCGCCCACCTCCTCTGCTCTGAGCACGCTCAGCTCCTCTAGGCACAGACCAAGAGGACTTGGGAGACCCTCTCCAGTAACAAACGTAACACATTTCTAGAAACCTGTCCATAGTGGATAAGACAGAAACAACTTAGATAGTATCTTGAACCTCCATGAAGCCAAATTTGGCCAATAGTTTGTTGGTTTTGTTTAAATTTCAAATCTTTTTTCACAACCTCTCTGGTACGTGTTTTCTTCACAGGTGTGAACTTCACACTGAAAACTAAGCTGGCAGCCACCATTGCACTTTTGCCTGTATGATTTTCACGATTCTAAGTGCTTCATATAAATGGAGTTCTTGTGACTGTCTTATTTCTCTTGGTATAATGTCCCGAGGTTTCAACCATGAAATTGTAACTGATAAAATACTGCACACAGGCCTCACTCAGATCTCATGAGGAGCATGTGTCAGAATATTCTTCCTTCTTAAGATGGATCATATCTGATTGCATGGATAGGCCACACTTTATTTACCTGTTCATCCATTGGTGGACACTTGGGTCCTTTCCATCTTTTGACTATTGTGCATAATGGTATGATTACGGGTGTACAAATATCTCTTTGAGGCCTTGCTTTCAGTTCACTTAAGTATAGGGCCAGAAGTGAAATTGTTGAGTCATTTTCCCCCTTCTTGTCCCTTAGGGGAGGGTACTTTGAGACTATGTTACTGAGGCTGTTATTTTTGAGACCGTTATTCTTCTCATGCTTTTACCCATTAGCTTTAGCATCTGTTGATTCCTACCTGACTCAGTTATTCCCATGGTTGTCAAATGTCACTTTTCTAATTCCATCATTCTGTACGCATTGGCTGTCATTCTATGGTAAGGAAGAGATTCCCCCTCTCCCCAGCTTATATATGAACATAAACTCATTTTATTCAATGGGTTACAAGACTTTACTTCGGGGAGAGGCAAATCAGTATGCAAATCATTATGCAAATTGGGTGTACAGCCTGATTTTCCCCAAATTGAGATCCTTTTCCTTGCCCACGCATTCCTTTTGTCAAAGTGGAAACCCTGTTTCCCACGAGAAGCTGCGCGCGCACTACATTTCCCAAAGGTCCCCGGACTGACGTCATCAGCTCGCGCGGCGTTTTGCTAGAGGTGCCGACTCGGGGGAGCTCGCGGTGGCGGCGGCAACATGGCTGATGTGCTGAGCGTCGGGGTAAACCTGGAGGCCTTTGCCCAGGCTATCAGTGCCATCCAGGCACTGCGCTCCAGCGTGAGCAGAGTGTTCGACTGCCTGAAGGATGGCATGCGGAACAAGGAGACGCTAGAGGGCCGAGAGAAGGCCTTCATTGCGCACTTCCAGGACAACTTGCATTCGGTTAACCGGGACCTCAAGTAGGTACCGACTGAGGGACCGGGGTCCAGGACCCGCCCTACCCCCACTGTGCGCCAGCCCCGCGCGAGGGTTCCCAGTCAGGGTGTTCCCCCCGTTCCTTGCTCTCCGTTCTCTTGCTGTCCTCTCCTAGTGTCTGCCAGCCCTCGGGGACATCTCATCCCCGAGCCCCTCTTTCTCGTCTCCGTTCTCTCGGCCTCCTGCTCTCGGCTGCCTTCCCCTGTCCTCAGTCCCCTCTGGGGTCGTCCTACTGCCCCCGAGGAGGCGTGCTCTTGCCTGGAACTTCCACTTCGTGAAGCCCAGCAGGTCTCTCACCTGTGTGCTCTTTGAGCCGCGTCGTGTGCGGTCAGACTACTGATAGTCCAGACAGCACCCGGTCAGCAGTGCTCCCGACCGGGGCCCTGGACCTGGTTGACCCAGGTCCGCGCTCCTCAACCTGGAATTCAACAGTTCCACCTCATCTCGCTCCCAAACACGACAAAACAGGCCTTGATCTGGCTTTCCCCCTTCTTTCCCCCCAAAAGCAACCTGCTCAATACTGTCACTACTTCACTTTCAATGCTTTCCTTCAGTTCTTCTCAATAGAGACCTAATCTCGAATCTGTTAACCAGTGTAATCACTTATGCTTAAACCCCCTTTCCCAGTTCTTAATTTGTGGTCTGTGAGGGGCCTGTACATTTCCTTCTTTCTTCCAGGTCACCTTCTTTACTTCTACTTCATAAGTATTGTTGTAGGAATTAAGTAAGAGTATGTTTGTAAAAGCCTGGCACATGATAAGCACTTCTTGATTGCCTAGATCTTTAATTTAATTTGCCTTCCCTTAGGAGAGTTGGTCCTACTTAGGACTGTTAGAATTTCAGAAGTTTTGCTTTTATTTCTTAGAACTGACCTTAGTAGGGAAGGTATTTGGTGAGCTATTCATCTTATGGTTTTAGTGCTGAGGCTGGAATGCAGGGCCTTGGGCCTGCCAGGCCAGCGCTCTACCACTGAGCTCGGCCCAATTCTTTTTTCAACTTGGTCTCCTTAGTAAGCAGGTGAAAAGAGGAGGTAGGATGGTGGAGGTGGTGGTGGCCAAATGGTGGGAACCTTTTTCTCCCCTTAAATATTTGCCATAAGTCACACATCCCTCTCCAACTCCCACATCCACTTGTCTTCTGCGGGTGCAGTGCCCAGCACCAGTTAATACTTTCCCTGCTTGAGGGGCCGTAGTGGTTGTTTCCTCATGTGCGTTTCCATTTTCTTTCTGATTTGTCTCTCTTTTTGATGTTCAGGATGTCAAAACCTTTCACTGTTTGAGAAACTTTAAAAATAGTGACACTACCCCTTTGCCTTCTTCAATCTTTGTACAGTCATGGCAAGATGGCTGGAGATTCCAGAAATATACAGCATGAGATGCTGTTCAGAAAGAGAGAGCCTTTTGTTGGCAGTTGGGGACTGGCCCCTCAGAATGTGCCTCAGGAATGTGCTTTTGCTGTTGGCACACTTTCCTGAGCTTCTCCAGAGTTTTCCTGCTAGACTGAAGTGTGTTGGTTTGACACAACCCGCTCCGCGGTGTCTTCCCATTCCATTTGTTTATTTTATCTCTTTTTTTGTTTTGCTAAGTTTCACCATCTGTGAAGCATCATGTACAAAATCCATCCCTATGTGGATGATAAATAATCATCATTTATTCAGGTACTTGCTGTTCTGCCAAATGTAGTGATCTGCACGTGGATCTGAAAACCCTTCGTGAGAGGCAGTGTTGGGCCACATTGAGAGATCCCAGAAAGTCTCCTCCCTTGCAGATACTAATTCGAGTTGTTAAATCCTGATTTTAGGAGTCTTACTGATTCTTGTACCCTTAATTTTTTTTTCCTCCTTTGGAACAGCACCAGGGAGTTCTGTTTTAAATTAAGATTAAACTCCATGTGAAGATTTTTCTTGGTTGTTCCTGATCTTTTTTTTTCCATTCACAAAATATTTCTTCTTAAGGCACTTCTGGTGGGTACCTTGATGAGCAGCTTTTGACTGGTGTGGTTGTTTCAGTGGAGTTCAAACAAACTCAGGTTTATTTGCTCTGTTTTGTTTTGTTTTTTTTTTTTTTGGTACCAGGGATTAAACTCAGTGTCTTGCACTTGTGGGACAGGTGGCAGAAGCACTGAACTAAATCCCTGGCCCTATTTGCTGTTTTTCAGTGAGCTGGAGCGCCTGAGTAACTTGGTAGGAAAGCCATCTGAGAACCATCCTCTCCACAACAGCGGGCTGTTAAGCCTGGACCCTGTACAGGACAAAACTCCTCTCTACAGTCAACTCCTGCAGGCATATAAATGGTCCAACAAGGTAAGGGAGACATCATAAATGGAGCGAATAGAGCAAGAGCCGCATTTGCTTCTCTCCTATGGATGTAGAAAGTGAGGGTCAGTTTTTATTTCTTTTTTAATTCTTTATTTTATTTTATTTTTTGCCATACTGGGGATCAAACCCAGAGCCTGTGCATTGCCAGCACAGCACTGTGCCATTGAGCTACATCCTCAGCTCCTTTCTTTTTTCTTTTTTTGGTACCAGGGATCGAACTTGGGTCCTTGCGCTTGCACAGCAGGTGGCGAAACCACTGAGCTAAATCCCCGGCCCAGTCCCTTTCTTTTTTACTTTTGATTCAGTGTGGAGTTATAGGGTTGGAATTTTTAGAATACCCACGTAAGCTATTTTGTGGTCCTTCAAAGGTTTTCGGGATTAATAATGATACTCAGGGAATTACATTTTAAAAAGAATTGTAAGTCAGGTGTATTTAATCTGGAGTCTGGGGGTCAGGAGCAGCTTTTATGAACTTCTTGATATTATCTGCACTATGTTGTGTCTAATACATTTGTGTCTGAGCAAAATGTCCTAGCCTTCATCAGATTTTCGGAGGTGTTCGTGACTCCTGGAAGGTTAAGGGCTGGCGGTCTGAATGTTCAGTCATTCACACTGTTTGCTCTTTTATCATCTCTCCGGTAAGGGCAGAACATCCCCGGAAGGCAGCCTGTTAGGTACTCTCCGGTTACCTTGGGTCCATCTGAGGGAGAGTGCTCCTAATGTGCTCCCTAGAATTGGATGCTCACAGTTTCCTTCAGCTGGCAGCCTGTAGCTTAGACCTTAGGGCAGCTATAGAAGCAAAGCTGAACTCATCTAAAAATAACAAGAACAATTAGGCTCATTAAGCCTAGAAACAGTTTGTTTTCTGATGAGTTCCTTTTTTTTATTAGCTGTCTGTGGTGGTTGTATGCATGTTTTCCTGTTTATAGGGCACTAGGAAATACTTTAGGAACAATTTTGAAAGCATTTCTCATTATTCTCTTAGCTCCCTTGAGATAATTGTTCTTCTTGTTATTGGCTATGAACTGCTCTGCCCCCTTAATTATCCATCAACTTTTTCCACTTGTCTCTGTTCTTTTTCTCCTTAGGTCTTAGATGACAGATGAGCTTTTATAGTTTTTCTGGTGTGCAGAGTTTTTTACTTGAATTTCTCTTTGGGATATTTTTGGTATTCTTTGGTTTGAAGTAGAACCCTGAAAGTCTATCTGATTCAGAAAGAGGGTGATTTGTCATGAGATACTAAAGAAAGAATTTTAACCTTAAATGTGTACCATTAGCCTGGAAGCCTTTCTGCCAAACTTCCGGCTGCCCATGATAGAAACTCAATTTGGTCTAGTACAGTAAGTCTAGGAGATTGGAAGAGACTTCACTGGGTCAAAGAACTAAACCGGTCAGGGAGTTGCTGGTGTGAGGCTAAGCTTAAGAGGATCAGGGTGCACAGGTGATGTATCAGAAATCCTCTTTCTCTCTTGAGGGCTGCTTTACTAAAAGTTCTGATATTTTCCAAGTGCTGGAAAAGATGCCTCGGCAGTTGTTGGCATCTGCCTGGAGGTCTCCTAATGTCTGTGTCCGACTCTGAGAAATGACTGTGGCCTTGCTCAGCAGGTGTCCCCAGAGACGGGTCATGCCGTCCTTCGGTGAAATTCTTAGTTCAGCTCACCTGAGGTATAAGCAGTGTTGCTCCTTGGAGTTGGAGGGGCAGTTTCCAAAAGGAGGCTGGATGATTCAGCTTTTTGTTATTATAACAAGCTACCTGCATAGGCTAACTGCATAAAGAAAAGAAGGTTATTTAACGTGCAGTTTTGGAGATTCTAGGGCCAGTCTACACACATGTGCCGAGAGAGAGAGAGAGAGAGAGAGAGAGAGAGAGAGAGAGAGAGAGAGAGAGAGAGAGGGAGAGGGAGAGAAGGAAAGGGAAAGAAAGAAGGTTACCTGGTGTGTAGATAGAATCTAGTCAGTAGGTAAATGGTGTGACTTATTTTTGGTTGGACTCCTTGTAGAAAGTCTTCCTTTTTGGTGTTGGGATAAGAAAACCATATTGATATGTCATGTAGGTAAAGTTGTTCTTGAAAAGGCTAGAGTGACAAGAACTTCAGTGGTGGGACTATGTAGGCTGATCTCAAAACTGTAAGTGACTGATCTTAGTTTTTTGAGGTATCTCCATACTGATTTCCACAGTGATTGCACCAGTCTGCACTCCTACCAACAATGGAGAAGGGTTCCTTTCTCCCCACAAACTCCGCCAGCATTTGTTATTGGTTGATTTCTTTTTTTTGTTTGTTTTTGTTTCTGTTTTGGTTTTTTTTGGTTGATTTCTTGATAGCTGCCGTTCTTTCCGGGGTGAGGTGGAATCTCAGTGTTGTTTCCATCTGCATCTCTCGAATGACCAGTGATGTTGAACATTTTTTCATATGTTTATTTGCTGCTTTTACTTCTTTGTCTGAGAAATGTCTGTTCATTTCAGATGCCCATTTTTGGATTGGGTCTTTATATTTGGGGAGTCTGATTTTTTTTAGTTCTTTATGTATTTTAGATAGTAGACCTTTGTCTGAGGAACAGCTGGTAAAAATTTTTTCCCACATTGTAGGTTGTCTCTTAGTTCTGTTGGTGGTTTCTCTTGCAGTGCAGAACCTTTTTAATAAGATGAGATCCCAGTTGTTGATTCTTTGTGCTAGCTCCCGTTCTACTGAGGATTTGTTCATAAAGTCTTTTCCTATGCCAGTGTCTTCGAGAGTTCTACATAACTTATCTTCCAGCAAGTTTAGTGTTTCTGTTTTAATATTTAGATCTTTAATCCACTTTGATTTTAGTGTAGTGCATGGTGAAAGGTAGGGGTCTAGTTTTAATCTTTGGCAGGTTGAAATCCAGTTTTTCCAACACCATTTATTAAAGAGGCTATCTTTCCTCCAGTGAGGATGGTTGGCTCCTTTGTCAAAGATGAGGTAGCTGAGTATGTCTGGAGTTGTTTCTGCATCTTCTAATCTATTCCACTGATCCTTGAATCTGTTTCTTTGCCAGTACCATGATGTTTCTATCCCAGTGGCTTTGTAGTATAGTTTCAAGTTGGGGATTGTGATACCCCCTGTCATGTCTCTGTTGCCTAGAATTACTTTTGTTATTCTGGGTCTCTTCTGGTTCCAAATGAATTTTTGGATTGTTTTCTATAGTTCTGTGAAATATACTGTTGGGATTTCAATTGAGATTGCATTGAATCTGTGTAGCAGTTTTGGAAGTATGGCCATTTTTGCTATATTGTTTCTTCCTACCCAGGAACAGGGGATGTCTTTCCATTTTCTTGTATCCTCTTTGATCTCTTTTTTTTAGAGTGCTGTAGTTTTCAATGTAGAGGTCTATAAGTGACTGATCTTACATTGAAGTGATTTTGAATGAATGTAGTTTACTTATTCACTGAATTCACTTGTCTAGCTATTAAATAGAAGTCCTTGAACTTCACTCTTATCCCAAGGTGGAAAACAAATTGTATTAAGGGAAAGAAATATTATGTACATGGGACTTCTTGGCTTGGAAAGGGCACAGGTAAACAGCCTGTGTAAGAATATGTATGTGTGTATCCCACATGATGAGCTTGTCGACCTACCCCCGGCCAGGTAAGGGGAAGCATCTCCAAAGTGACTGTGTGCCCCAGCAGAGGAGGATAGTCGAGATTCACCCTCACGGGTTAGAGCGAAGCAGGCCAAGGCCCAGTGAACTGACCTCTCTACAGCACCCCTGCTGGACTACAGCTTGGGTTTCCTGACTTAGCGCCTTGTTTTTTCCTCTAAAACTTGATGCTTAGTTCAGTTTTGCTTAAGGTTTTCAACTACAGAGAACATTCTTCCCCCTTTTGCTTGCATCCTAGAAATAATTCATCGTATGTTTCATTTATACATTTCATTCATTCCATCTGTATGCACTTTTTAAGCATTTGTAATGCATAAAGGATGAAGTTGACAAATACATGGTACACGGGTCCTCAAACTCTTGCTCTTTCCAAGGCAGACATCACTAATCAAGTGTTGGATTCTTTTCTGCTGAGACTGTGTGTTACCAGCTCACAGGCCTTGCAACTCCATTCAGGAGCGAGGCAGCCATTGGCAGTTGCTCAGAGGAGAGCTGCAGGGAGAATGTGTTTATCGTCTGTTATGGTAATAATGACCTATGTGGCCATTACTTATTTGTACTTTACCTGACTCTGGGAAGGATTTAAGGCAGGTAGTAAGAATCCCTAAAACCTAGAAAGAAAAGAGGAGAAACAGGGTAAGGATGCCTTATGTACATTTCTGTAATAAACTCAAGAAGTAGCCTCCAGAAATAAGCCAGTTTTCTAATTTCCAGCTGGTGACATGGAAGAAGCAAAACAATTAATTATATGTGTTTATCTTGCTTCTGCTATAAATGAAAAGAGCTTTTTAATTGCCAGACCTTTCACCATTCATCATTTTACCCTCAAAGAATTTAAACCAGTTAGTGGTTTAATATGTTAAGTGAAGTTGGGGGTAACTTGCCAATGTCAGCTTTCCATGCTATTGGCTAGGAATTGAAGGACATGTGGGAAGGGCTTTGATACCTCCCATTATATGGTGAACTTTCTGTTCGATCAGCTGTTGGCCATAGAAGAGTCTCATGCATGCCTAATGACTAGCTATTTTCTTCAGGGGAGTTTCGTAATTTTTGTAAAGCCAGTTGGCATATTAATTACATGGTAGTTGGCATAATTGTTAGAATAACACATTTAAAAATTAATCTAATTTAGTGAAATGGTGTCAAATTGCTGTGCACAGCACTTTTCCTGTGCTGAACCGGGGAAGGAGTTTAGCTTTTAACTATTAGGGACCTATAGATAATTGTTCTGCGGAAGGATGACAAGCTCTTTTGACTAGGGCAAGAAGTAATTGGCATCAATGCCGTCCTTGCTGTAAAATAGTCAGTGTACTGCACTTTATGTTACTTACTGTGTTCAGATGCTGCAAGCCAGACTTAAATTA